GGAGAGCTCTTATCCGTAAGTTGGGGTCAGTCCCAGAAAGGACAAAAACCACAGTGGGAACAGTGAGTGTTCCAAAGTCCTTACTTTCTACCAAAAAAGTCCCTTATCCACCAACAAACCACCTTGCCTTAACCTTTATTTTAAAAAGAAAATAAAGTAGAAAGCTTTTGTTTTAAATGCACAAATACCTCTTCCCTTTCAAAATCCACTCATTTAAACTTTCTAACCAAACCCAGCATTGTGATTTAAAAGCAATTTCCTTCAACACAGACAGGCTTCTTCAGGAGTTTTCTGCACTGCAGAGATGTGTGAGAGGGTTTTTTGAAGAGTGGGTGAAGGGAAGTGAAAGATAACATTGATTTCAAAGAAGGAAAATATTTTACTGTATCTGCAGCTCCTTTTGAGACAATTTGCACTTTTAAAAACTGCTTTTTTAACACTAATACTTTAACCCTTTCCAAATATGCATGGAACATGGTTTGTCCAGCACACTTACCTAGTGTGGATGAATTACCCTCTGTTGAACAGATCTGATGTTGTATCGTGTTGAACTGTGGGTGAAAGATGTGCATTGATCAGTGGGTCCCACCATTGAATAGTGGATAAAACTTCACTGAAGCAGACTTTATCCCTCGTAGAGCTTTTGATAACGTAAAGATTGTCTTTGGATGGGAAGACGAAGGTGTTAGTTGATGACACTTCTGGTATTTTCTAGAATAAGTAGTTGAGATGCAAATAACTGATGCTAACTTTTCTTACACTGGCAATGTAAGAAAAGAGCTAGTGAGTTTGGTTTACGGTTTCAGTTAAACCAAAACCTGGTCCAAGGGAAGTGTCATTAGAAGAATATAGATATAAACTAGCAATGGCAGGGGAAGGAGTGTTCGCTGTATTTCTATTTCTAAGGGTTAACTTTGCACCAGTGTGCCTTCCCTTCCTGTTGGGGGTGCTTGGGACCTCAGAATTTCAGGTGACATCCTTCAGTGTCACTATTTTTTTTCTCCCCCTTACAAACACTTGAGAGAAATTACAGGGTAGTAGGATTCAGCTCTTGTTTCTTCCCTGTTTAAGTTGTGGTGAAATCTGCTACATTTTCCGGTAGATTTTGCACACAGGCTTTGTTCTGAGTAAGTCAAAATACAATCCATCCAGTTGTGATTTTCTTAATTGGAGTTAAAGAGCATCTGCTGTTTGCATTATTACTACCAAAAAAAGCAATCCAGCTAAATGTCCAGGAAAATGCAGGTGTGCTCTTTCCTCCACTGTTTCTGGAAGTGAAGGTGGATATTGCCCTGCTTGACCATTGGGTTTGTTCAGGAAGGTATCTAGGTTCAATGACAGGGCCTTTTCATGGTACTGTTGAAGTAAAATTAAGTGTAATTCTAGGCAAACTGGCTTATAATGCCCATTGGTCTTCGTATGTGAACAGGATCCAAACAGCATTTAACCTGCTGGGAAAAGCAGCCATCCCTTCTGGTTTTGGTCCCTGTCCACATAATGCAATCAGACTGTTGGGAAGACGGTGTCACTGTAACAAAGTGGAAACAGTTCAATGGAAATGAACATACGGTTTAGATGTACATAGGTGCATAGGTAGGGCTGGGCTTTGCCTTTGTGCCCTTGAACATGTAGCTGTCTATATATGCACTTGGGCTTTCCATTTGCTGCAGCTTCAGAGCAATAAAACGTATCTCCCCTGAACTGTACCCAGCCAGCCGCCCATGGCTTTATTTATGAACTGCGGTTTTGGCTGGGTAGGAAAGGTGAGAGTGTCACTGTGCAACATCCACTGCCTTCCAAAAACCACGATTCAATTGAAAAGGGTGCTCAAAATTTTGTTATACACATTTCCTTTGTGTAAATAAATGTTTACAATTTTATATTAAAGATTTGAATAAGAGTTAGATCTTCTGACTGTATATTTTTTACTTTTTATAGATTTAAAAACTATAATTCTTTATATATGTGTTTGGGGGGTATTATGGTAAGTTTTATGCTTGTAAATGGAGAACAGTTGAATTTGATGCTAACCTTTATGAATTTTTGTCATTGAAATGTATAAAGAGTCCATTAATCCCCTTATTCTTTTACTACAATTACTGGTGCACACCAAAAAGAAATCCTTCACTTCTGTTTTATCATTATAAAATAAATATTTTGCTAGTGTATTAAACATACATGGTGTGGCTTTATACATTTGTGTGAGCTGGGCAGAGTTCAGCATTGCTGTTCCTAGTGAGATCGTTCCCTTCATCCTAACACAGAGTTTTGGTCAGCCTGTTCTGCTGTGTCTTATCAATTCTTACGGTGTCAGAAAGTCCATTTAAACAGGCCACAGCTGGATAATGAGGCCTTGGAAAACTTCAGTTTGAAAGCAAGGCTTGATGCTACACCCACTGCTTCTGGACTGTTGGGTTTTTAGTGCAGCCTCAGGCCTTAAGCTGGGAGATGGACTGCAGAGGGGGTTGCTGGTGATAAAGATGTTGATGACCACTGAGCCCTCACAATGCAGAATTGTAGAGTTCCAAAAATATGCTCAGATTCCCTCTGAATTAACAAGCCTTAGTGGATCAACCTCATTTCCTTGAGACTGATAGAGACAAGGGTTATGCGTGTTTGACGTACACTCAGAAAACCCCACCAAGCTGATAAATGTGGAACATGTACTGCAAGCATGAGTTAAATGTTTATGAACAGGAAACACAATACTGACTTAAAGCTGGTAAGGTCCCCAGGCCACTGCATAGAGCTGGTGGGTTGAAGAGGCTGTGGAAAATAATGGCAAATAGGGCTTTCAGATGCTGCTGGATTGTTGATCCTCTTCAGATGGAAACTTTACCTGTATGTTGGTGGGAAGAGAAGTAAAGCAAGGACCTGCAGTCCCATCAGCGCTCCGAGGAGCCTGGCTTTGGTGGTGTGTGTTTGGATGTTAATACGTTCATGTTAACAAGTCATTACTTGACAAATTACACCAAACTGAGCATTGCAAAGCAGTTCTTGTAGTGAATCATACCACCTGCAGCAGAACCAGGAATTCAGTTCCTTGTATGTAGTGTTTCCTGTTTGTCAGATGTGCCTTTTAGCAGATGATATCTAGTCTTAAATTCTAAACTAATATCTCCAGTCTCTCCAACCACAGATTTAGCCGTGGTGATAAAGAAGAATTTGCGAAGTGTGACACATGCTTTTCTTGCAAAGGCTGTATTTGTTTTACATTTTACCATGATTTCAAGCATTCCCCTACGGAGTAAGAAGTTTAATCAGCTTCAAACAGCGAAGAATCATCCTCCAAGCGTTGGAGCTGGTGTTTTATACAGCTACTCTGTGTAAAGCTCCAGCCTTCAGATTTCCTCACAAAGTGCACCCTGACTTTCTGTTTTGAGTATATTCCTCCTCTGTGAGTACTGAGCTGTGTCTGGGGGCAGGAGGGGACCTGTAACGTCAGGAGCTTGTAAAGAACTAAATGTAATAATAATTAGCAATACCAGGATGAGCTGCTTTTAGTTTGGGGGCAACTGTGAAGTTTATATACTTTATCGCTTTTGTTTTATTGTCCCCTTAAAGCTGCTGCCTTGTATTTAATGTTGAGTGAAACTGTCCCCTATTGGAGTTTTGTATATGTTTTTCCAAAGATTTTGAGGAGTCTCAGCTCAGAAGCAGACTTATTTATTTATATAGTGCTTGACGTTAGTGCTTTTCCTGAGGCAAATGTAAATCAGCAATGGAAATGCTTTCTAAAGCCTGGGGTTTTTTCCTGAAATGGTGTGAGCACAAGTAGGTTGCTGGTGGCATTTCCCCTCTGACTTTCATCTCCAGATGAAATCTTTGGTCACCAATAGATTCTGTTAAGGGTGATTGCTTTATTTCTATTTCAGTCTGGGTCTGTTAGCAGCTTGGAGGATCTACAGTCCCATCATAAGAGTGTTTTGCAGAGAAAGGGAGCAGTTTTGCTATTTACATGCATGGCTTTTTTTACAGAAAGTGTACAGTCGTCTATTTGAGTTAGGTTTTCAACATGATCCTTGAGGTGATGAAGAGCCAAACCAGGAGAACAAACTTGCTGCATCCCACAGGAGAAACTGGAGGCTTGGTCACTGCTTGTTGGTATTGGGCACAAGTTCTGTACTGAGGTTTTGGGTGGGACTGTACACAGAGAAATGCAATGGCTCAACCATGTCCTGTGCCCTCTCTTCACCAAAACTAAGGGCAATGTTAGTTGTTAATGACTGATGCCTTTCTTCTCCTTTTTGGCTTTAAAAACTTTGAAGTCAGAATAGCTTTACCCATATAAAGTTCCAAAACACAGGGTGACTTTCTGAACTGATGTGTATTTTGCTTTTGTGGAGGGGGAGAAAAGTTACACATGGCTCAAACATTGCTGGTTTTCAGATTTTGCATTTCACAGTTCTAATGTCAGGGCAGTGTTTCTGAGAGTCCACGTGTTTCAGCATCCTCTCACGCCTTCCATTTGGAACTGAGAGGTTTTAGTTTGTTAGCCAGGAAAAGGTTTGTATGGCAGAATTGTAGCAACATCAGAAAACTACAGTAGGTGACAGTGCTAGAAAAGAACCATACTTCTAGTTGGTAAACTTACATTATTAATAGGATAAAACATGTGAATGCTCTTTTAAAAAGTCCGAATCCAGTAACAGAATTAAGCTACTTCAGTTGGAGTCTAGAAAACCCTTCCACGTGATCAACTCCATTACTTGGAATAAGAGCAGAAGGTCAAGCCATTAATTTGTAAATGCTTGTTAGTAATTTTTACAACCTCACACATAATGTAGATGCTTTAGAGCTGATGAAAACTAGCAGCAAAAGGGCTGAAAAATAACCCGGTTATCTTTCCGTTGCCAGCACTGTAGAACTCAATCACAGTGCAAAGTCTGTAAATATAACTGGAAGGATTTCTCAGTTTGTGCATGCAGAACGTCTGCTGTTCTGTGGTTCAGCAAAAGGCACTGGTCTGAGATCCCCATTTCCTGGTGACTGTTTGCTTTGGGAAACTGATGTGGAGAGAGTTAAGCTGTGGAGGTGGAAACACGTCTTGCTGCAAAGGAACACCTTCGCCCCAGTGCTGTCCTGCAGAGAGAGCTGGGGAGCAGCTGGACCCATCACATCTGCCTGGGGTGTGGGTCACCATTAGCAACATGAGGCATCAGATGGACTTGCTAGCCACCGTCACAGTTTTGGGAGTCCTGGAGCAAGGTAAATGTCCTTTTCTATAATGCTAGGTACTATTAAGCTAATTGTATTAAGCTTTGTGGAACTTGGTTCCTGTGTTTTGCTTGGAGTCTCTGTGGAGTAAAAGTTGGTTTAAAGATGCAAATGTTTGGCTGTCCATGGCAGAAGTGTTGTGTCTGTGGATGCCGTTACTCAATCGGGATTGAAATGATCCATGAACCTCAGAGGCAGCATAGAATCACAGAATAGTTAGAGTTGGAAAGGATCTTAAGATCATCCAGTTCCAAGCCCCCTGCCATGGGCAGGGATACCTCACACTAAACCATGTCAGCCAAGGCTCTGTCCAACCTGGCCTTGAACACCACCAGGGATGGAGCATTCACAGCCTCCTTGGGCAACCCTTTACAGTGCCTCCCCACCCTAACAGGAAAGAATTTCCTCCTTATATCCAATCTAAACCTCCCCTGTTTAAGTTTGAACCCGTTAGCCCTTGTCCTGTCACTACAGTCCCTAATGAAGAGTCCATCCCCAGCATCCTTATAGGCCCCCTTCAGATACTGGAAGGCTGCTCTGAGGTCTCCACGCAGCCTTCTCTTCTCCAGGCTTAACAGCCCCAACTTTCTCAGCCTATCTTCATATGGAAGATAGCATCCTAGAAGGAAATGAGATTTAAGATTTACTTTTAAATGCAAACCAATTTCAACAGTATAATGTATCCAAAGTATTTTCTGTGATTGAATTTTGGCAGGTAATTTGTAACTTAAGAGTGGTTGGAGGTGCTAAAACAAAGGCAGGTTAATGAACATGCTGATGAAGAGATCAGTGTGCAAATGTATATTGTATGTCTGTAGAAAAACGCATGTATTTCTCTGTGACCAATGCTATGATGTGTTTGTAGAGCTCAGCTGCACAGAGCAGATGACAGGGTGATTTGACAGCACACAGTAATTTCGAATATAATGCAAAACCCCTTCTGGTCAGAATCAGACATAGAGGTCTTCAGTTTCCATTGATTGGTTTGGTTTAGACCTCTTAGAAGCAATAGCCAAGCTTTGTCTACCTGTTGTGTTTAATTGTAGGTCCTTTGGGCAAAGGCCTCTCCACCCTGGGCTTCAGGAGGGTCATGGAAGAGGACATTCCTTCTGCTTGGGGTGGGGACAGAGCCCCCTTTTTACTAAAATCTTCCCATTTCAACAAGGCAAGGTTGGTTTGTGGGGTTTTTAATTACTGAATTAATTCACTGTAGAGCTATCACACCTCTGCTTACAAATGGATGTGCATCTGAGCAGCCTGAGGTATTTTTAGCCATCAGATGATCCATCTCTTAATATAAGCATTATTTAAAACACAAGCTCCTTGAAGAATAGAGCTCAAGATTTCTGAGTTATCAGTAATTTCCCCTCAGATAATTTACAGAGAAGTATCTGCAACTAGAAATGGAAGCTACTTTTGTCATATGAATTCTGTTTGTTACTAAGTGGGATGGAGGGAGTGTTTAGTGTGCAAAGGGAAGACAGGAAGAGAAACTGAAATTGAGTTATGGAAATGCTGCTAAGCCCTTTCCACTGGGAAACCCTCAGTAACAAATCCCTGGATAGCAGTTTTGTCTCAAATACATTTGTTTTATGAGAGTTTCAGGTGTTTTTTTTTTACAGGTTGTAGCCTTGGGCATTTAACTTCCATGCTATGCAAACCATGGTGTTAGATAAATTGCAAGCACCAGCACCCTCTTATCTATGTTAAATTGGATAAAGTAGCCTCATTTTAATGGTCTATGCATGGAAAGTGAAGAAGCAGTTACAAAATACTGTGTTTCCTTTCCCTCTCGGTGGTATGAACTATGTGTGCCAATGTCACCTTGAGTCAGAGCTGTGCTGTGGCTTTTCTTGTGTATTTTGAAATGATGCTCTGTACGTGAGTACAGATCTGAGCTTCATTCCGAGAAGGCAGAGCAATGAAACATGACGTGTGCTGTATGTACAGATCCTCTTCCATCTCAACCTGATGCATGCCACTTGGTTTGATGGCTGAGTTTAGTAGACTGTTGGTTGATTTTTAGTTTTCATTGTGTTTTCTGGGAGCTTGCAGTTTCCACCTTCTTTCAAGTAACCTTTTTTTGTCTAATTTAGTTATGCTCAGTTTAGCAAAGCTCTGAGCTTAGTGCCCTGTGGTGCGTGCCCCTGCCCTGTATTGAACGCTATAGCAGAGCAGAACCAACGTTTAGGTGGGTTTTTTCCCCTCTTTCTTATGGCTTCAAAGGAAATAAATAAAGCTTATGCAATGTCACAAACAAAGAGCTTGGTGCCAGGTTCATTCAGATGTGGCAGCTAGCAGCTCCAATATGATATCCAAGTGGGCATAATAAATAGAGAATGAAGGTCTGGCTGAGGAGCAAAGTGCTCAGCCCGTGTGAGCCACATGGGAGCCTATAGAGGCATTTAACCTGGAGACATGAATCGCAGAAAACTGGTCTGAAAGGTTCTGCAGAGGAGGTTGAACTCTGTTCCCTGGAGTCCACACTGAGCAGGCTCAGGCAGTGTGGGTTTTTCAACTCCTCGTTCTGAGAAGCTGATCTGAGGGTGATTCTTCATCCTTAATGCTTCACCCCTACAGCAGGTCTGGAGGACAGCTAGCCATCCCCTAAAGGCTCTTGCTCCTCCTGGGGGGTTGTTTTATATTATTATATATATATATTTCTATTGTTAGCCCTAAGCATAAGAGATGGTGCAGTTGGTACCAAGCAGGACAAAGATCATTGCCCAGCACAGCCAGGCTTATGCCATAAGCCAGAGCCATGCATTGATGTAGTAACTTTAGCTCAGTTCATTTCTTGAGCAGTGGCTGGGACAAGACCCTGAGAGTATTAAGTAGTTGTATCTGTCTTGTCCTTAATCTTGCAGCATCTGTCCCTGCTTTCTCTTCTCTATCCTGCTGTTGTGCTTTTATCTTCTTTGTTAGAATGAGACAGTCCACAAGGCATTCCTTGCAGCCTGGCTCCTTGTTCGTTGCTGCATTAGGACCTTCCTAATTCGAATGACTCACTCATGGCATGCTGCCACAGCCACCAAAGTGACTGGTTTTATAAGGTATTTGTCTCCTATATGAAAATTCTCATTTTCAGAGGCAGCAATGTAGTGGTGCACCTCAATACTTGAAACATCAGTAGTTTCAAGTAGTTTTATTGGCACATTTATTCCAGGCTGTGCGCAACAGCATGGGCTATGAACCTAGGCAGTGCCAGCTCTTCTAACCCCTTGTTTGATCCCAGGCTAAATACAGTGCTGCTGGACTGTTACCCTTCTGTGTTCTTTCCTTCCACAGCCTATTTCATGCTGCAGGTGATCCATACCCAGCAGCAGCACAGGATCTCCCCTCCCAGGACAACAGGTCACCCTGAATTTGAGCAGATCTTCAGAGCTCAGTAAGACTTTGACTTCTCTGGTAAATCTAGGTATGACTTGAGTCAAGTGTCACTAATGGGAAAGACTGAAGTCACCCTCAAATCACCTTTTCACTTTCTACCACTGATACTAGGTATTGTAAATTATGGTTTTTAAATGCTTTGTGTGCAGAGGTCTGAGGGTGATTGGGACACTTTGCTCTGGCTGCAGTGTTTCTGCCCATCCATGATAATCCTCCTTTTGGCACTGTGAGACACAGCCACGTTACAAATTAGTGGCTGCGTGAAGGAGGGTGCATTAATGCATTATAATCATTAAGCTTAATATTAATGTTGCCTCCAAATTAATACCCTAATATTTGCTTGTACGTTGTTGCTGTTAAACTACAGCAAAGGGCCTTGCTGGCAGAATCAGCCACGAGGATGTTTTAGGTTTTGTCCCTTTTTTAGGCCCTTGTCCTGTTAACATCAGTGCTGAGGCTGATTCTTTCTGCTCTGTTCTGATGGAGAGAGCAATGCTGGAGCTAGACTGGAAATGTTCACAGATCACTTCAGCTTCCAGCAAGCACCAGATTCCATCTTTCACCTCAGTCACTGTGTTTCATAAGCAATTGGAAGGAACTGGCCGGAGCTGGTTTGAAGGGTAGCTCAAGCATGGCACTAAATCCCGAACAAAACAGCTGTGTGTCCTTGCCAGTACATGGGAAACATTTGAGGAGTGACATGGGGAGGAAGGAAAGAGGAAAGGGAAGGAAAGGAAAAGGAAAGGAAGGACATGGCAGAAGGTTCCCTCTTAACAGCATGAGCTCCCTGAATACTGCTAAGGAAGCTCTACCTGTGCATGTGCTATACATGAGGATGTGCTTTTAACTCTCATGTCTGGTTCTCACCAGGGTGAATTGCTCAGAGTACTTCCCAGTCTTCACCTCGCTCCTCTGGGTTGCTGGAATCTTCTTCCATCAAGGTAATAGGGATGAATCACAACATGCACAAAAGCAAAAAGCGCAGTTAAAATCCCATTGTGACTCAGGCGTGTCCTCTCTGCACCCACGAGATCGTTGCTTGGGGAATGCAGTCCCCTTTGCTCAGACAGCCAAGGGGTGCCCAACCCCAATGTGCATAAAGCTGCCGGTAGCAACTGAGAAATCCCTCTGGGGATGCTCTGCCGCATCAGGACTTGGTGCCATCTCCCCCCAGCTGTGGCTGCAGCGTGCAGGCTGCTCTACCTCTACACCCACCTCAGGTACTTCCAGGGATATGCTGCGGCTGCGCAGGGATGCTGAGTACGCAGCTGGGGCTGTGGGAGCCCCAAACCCACCCAGGGAGCTGGGTGTGGGATGCAGCCCTGGGGCAGGTTTCCTTACCACAGGTGGGACCAAAGGCAGGTTTTACACCCTTCTCCTCCTCTCCTGTCTCTATGTGCTTGTGGCCTCTTCCCTGGCTCAGGAGGGTGCAGTATGCTTCATGCCCTGGGTCTGTTGGGGGTGTCTGATGGTGTTTTCTCCCTGTGCAGTTTGGGCCCATTGTATGTCAGTGCCTGGGTGCTGTGGCTGCTGCTGGGGCTGGTGGTGGCCGGGCTCCTGGTACCCTTCCTGCTTCCCTGCTGCTCCCCATGGATGGCAGTGCTGGTGCAGCCCCTCCAGCACCTCAGTGTCTGGTGAGAGGGGCCATGGCTCTCCCAAACCCTCCTCAGTTCTTACCTTTGAAGGGAGGTGGATGCTGGCACTGCTCTGCTTGTGGAGCTCCACTCTTCAGAGAGAACAGCCCTTCTAGAAAGCAAAGGATGTCCAGCTTCTGCTCCTGATGATGAGCTTCACTGCCGGGTTTTGTAGCACTGTGCTGTCGAACCTCTAATACCTTTGGCTCTGCCCCACAGAGCACGGATTAACCTGTAACTTCACTCACCATTGTCACTCCTCCTTACTGCTCTACTGATGGATGTTGAAGGATCACATCATGAATACGCAGAAAAATAAGTCCCTTTCCTCAGTAGAAATCCCCTGTGATTTCCAAAGGCGGCTGGGGACTGAGCAGTGCTTTGGGAGTATCGGCTATTGATGAGTGCTGAGGAATAGCTTTGTTTAAAGTTTAGGGGCTACATCTGGTCCCTGGTCCCCTGGGATACCCACCAGGCCCCTGGAGGACAGAGCCAGAGCAGCGGCTTTGCTGCCACAAGTGACTGTCACTGCTGCACCAAAGCTTTAAATTTAGCTTTTATTACAGTGCACATTATTTTATATATTTATATAGAGATGTACTTGAAAAATCAAATGTATCCAATAATAAAAAATACAGCACATGAAAGTAGTATAATGCATTCCAGTGTATAGCTGAAGAGACAGCGGGATTTACACTAATCCCTACTAGTTTTGAACTGGGCTACTTCTGCTTTATTTTCTTCCCCCCCCCCCCCCCAAATCCAATCACACCAATCAATAACTGAAACAATTCTTTTAAAAACCATCATTTCTGCACTCAACGTCAAGGCATGAAGACACTGGAGACTTCACTGTGAGTGAAGGGGCTGTGTTCAATGCTGGCAGGCACAGTGTGGTGTATTTCATAGTTCTTTTTGTTTTCCCTGCCATACTCGTAGCTCCAACCCCTTCGGATTCATTCCTCCTCTGCTGAAGGAGGGTCAAGTCTTCACCCTCACTTAATCCTCAGCTGTGTCCAGGACTGCTCAAGGCAGACCTCAGTCCCTGCCCGTCTCCATCCCAGCGCACCCATGGGGTCAGCCAGCGGGACTCAAGGTACCCAAGCACCCCAAGTACAGCCAGAGGTGGGCCGGTCCTGAAGGTGGCTGAAGGTGCTTTTTGTTCCCACGCTTACCACCAGCACTCATCCCGACCCCAAATCCCTGTGTCCGTGTGGCCTGAGCTCAGCAGCTGCACCCACGAGGGGCATCGCCCTCTGCTCCGGATACCGGGGTTTGCCTGGTTCTGCTCCTCTTCTGGAGCAGGCAAGGTCCTGGCCCTGCAGCTCAGGCTGAGGATGGTGATGCCGGATGGCTGAGGCCGGCTGCGCTGCCCTTGCACCCGGGCGAGGCGCCCCGGCAGGAGGGAGCGGGAGGGGAGAGAGCAGGACGGGATCCACGTGTGTCCATCCACCCTTCGCAGGCAGGGTCACTCTGCCTTCTTGATGAAAATCTGGGAGTGGAGAGGGCTGGGATCAGAGGGAGCAGGGCAGGAGCCCCGGGGCATCCCAGTGGTGATGGGGCCTGGCTTACCTCGCTCAAGATGATCCACACTGGGGAGTCGGTCTGGATGGACAGCCTGATGGCCTCCAGCGGCCCGAAGGATGGGTCCACCTCGCCCTCTGCAACGCCCTTGGAGAAGGAGCCTGGTGGGGAGAGCACAGGGATCACACAGGGACAGACTCCTCGCATCCAGCCCTCATCCAAGGGGATCACAGATAACTATAGCAGCTCCCCACCACAAGATGGGCTGAAAACCATCAGTGTGGATGTCAATACAGGGCAAAATGCTATGCTTAAAGGGACAAAAATCAGCTAAACAAAGCAAAATGGAGAGTATTTGGCTACACATCACTGCTTACAGGAATGGGGCAGAGTGGAACAGCATGGTCCTGTAAGAGACAAATGTTGGTTCACAGTATATATGCCATGGAGATAATAATGTCTCATTTTTGGTGGTGATTTTACTCTTTTTGTTTTAAACGTAACTGGAAGAAGCCAGATAGCACTGCAGAGGAATGTGAAGTGGCAGAAAGCCACATGTGCCAGGGACTTTAATTTGTCTATTTAAAATAAGAAGCCTTAGCAAGGACAAGTCTCAGCTTTACCATGCACCAGCATTTCCCCATAGACTGCAATGACTTGCTCTTGTCCAAGGGTATGGCAAGCACTAAAACAAGCTCAGGTAGCAGAAGACAAAGTCCAAGCTTCCAGTGTTGTGAGCATTGACACAGGCTGTGGAGGGAGGGTGTGAACTTGCCTGGGGTGAAGGTTTTTAACAGCAGATCAGGCAAATGGATAATCTGAGTAATTTGGTCTCAGCTCTGAGCAGAGACAGGCAGAAATATAGGGCTGCAAACTACCTGGAGAGGACACCTACTGCAAGAGGGGAGGGAGAGCAGTGGAGGAGAGGAACTGACCATTAAATCCTGTTCCAACCTGGCTCCTGACAAGCAGAAATAACTCTTTGCCAAGTGAACAGCACTGAGGGTCTGGATTCCCTGGAGGGTGAGGCTATGGGCTGTGTTATCAAACCCACACCCCGCACCCTGCTGTACCTATCTGGATGTAGCCATCCGGTGTCCTGCGGTATTTGAACACTGCACCTCTTCCCTCCTGCAAGGCTTCCTTATCCGACTGCAGGCTCTGTGGGAAGGAGAGGAGCGGTGTGCAGGGCCAGAGCAAGAGCCGCTCAAAAGCTCCAAGCAACAGCAGCAACCCCAGAGCTGCCCTTGCCAGCACCCTGTCCCATTGCCTGGCACCTCACGCTTCATTCTCCAAAACAAGAGGATGTTTGATGCCCTCATGCTGCTGCTTCTGTTGCACCACCCTGGCTCCATTCCGTCCCCTGCAGCCCCCCCACCTATCCGGCATTCCCTCTGTAGGCAGGGATGGCTCAGCACAGCATCCCTGCTCCCGAGGTGGTACCACACCAGGCGTGACCCCCCAGCAGCACCTCTCAAAGGCACTCGAGCCTTGTGAAGGTTTTCCTGACGGCGTCAAGCAGTTCCCTTCTCTCCAACCTCTTGTGCTTCCCACTCCGCCCCCAGCTCCATCCTCAATAAACACTTACGTCAAACGGCAAAACCTCCACAGTCGTATTGAGGAGTTTGTCCTCTGGGTGCTCGATGTTCCCGCTGCGGAAGAAGAACCTGTGACAGAGACCAGAGCCATGGAAACCCACGCTGAGCGAGGGGTGACACGAAGGCTTTCACCCCAGCTGAACATTCAGAAAGCACACCCTAACAGGGCCCTTCCCAACAAGCCCACGAGCACATGGTTTGGAAGGAGACCTTCTGCACCAGGTTAGAAACAGCATGGACTGCTCACAAGAGCAGGAAAGCAAAGGGCTCCAGCAAATATGGCCCCACCAAAAAAGGGTCAAGTTATTATCCCCCTGGAAAAGCACCACTTCCTCCTCCTGCGCAGCCAAGCAGGAGACAGGCAAAACATTCAACATGAGCCAAACGAGCAAGAGGGAAGCGTCTCTGCATGCTCCCAACCCCATTGACGTCCCCCAAGCACTGGCCTTTCGATGCGGAGTGGTTTGAAGAATCTGAATCGGATGAAGTCTCCGGCAGTGGGAGTGAAGGCCCAGAAGAAGTCCTCCCGCAGGTAAGCCTTCTCCAAGGTGAAGTGCTGGTAGGTTTTCAGGCTGGTGCTCACCTCTGCGGGAGGGTTCACGTGCTCTTTGCGCAGGGCCTGCTTGCCAAAGTCCTTGTCCTTGGTGGGCACAAAGCAAAGAGGCAGAAAGGGGTCGTGAGCTGCTCTCCCCCATGAGGAACACAGGCTCCAGCAGCAAGGTGCTGCAAATTAAAAGCTCTCTATTTGCTTAGCACAGAATGATGAGGGATGGAAGTGATCTGGGAAAGGCACCAGACAAGGCAACGCGTGACTGGATCCCAGGAGGACACAATGTCAGTAGAGGCAGCACAGAGAAGCATCACTGCCCTGCACTCTAATCCAGCACCAAAGAGCCCTTCATTGTCCAAGCATCCCTGCCCCATGAGCACTGCAAACAGCCCTTACACCTGAGGAGAAGGTGGCTGTGAGGCTGACAACAGCATATAATGATTGGATTACACAGGCTGATGGCCACTGATACAAACTGGATTACACCATCCATTTGCCTGGGGATCAGGCAGACAGAGGATTGAGCACATAGACACAACCAGTGTCTGTGTGTGTCTATGGGTCCTGCACATATAGCTGTGTTGATATTTAAATACACACACACAATTTAAGCTCTTACATAGAGAGCTCTAGTTCACCTATCAGCAAGCCCCAGGAACAAGGAGTGGGGTAGGAAGGAAGTCAACCCAACCCAGGAGTCCTGTCTCCACGGTTTTCCAGTAGATGCTTTGAAATCCATTGTATGAACCACAGTTTGGTGCTCAGGATGGGCAGCCAGGACTTAAAAGCTTGCAGTGACTCTTGGTACATGTCACTGCCATTCTCAGAAGCAGGAGCCACACGAGCTCACTGTAATTCAGAATAAAACACACCAGTTGCTGTCCCTGATTTCCCCACCCCAAAAGCAGCCAGTTCCTCAGTGCCTGCAGGCCAGGCCTGGCACAAAGGCCACATCTGCAGCTGGGACAGGCGGCTGGTACCCACCTTCAGCTTCTGTATCTTCCCAGCCAAGGAGGAGTGGGTTCCCACGTGCTGGAAGAGCGACGGCTTGAAGCGGATCCTCAGGTTTGCCTTCTGCCTGTCACAGTGTTTCTGGAATGAGACAACCCCTCAGTGCCCCAGACTTAAACCTCTGCAGTCAACCGCAACCCACGAGAGGAACAGACAAGGGGATGAGGAGTGACAGACATCCGTTCTTCCCCATCTCTGTGCCCTTCTTTGCTGCTTTGGCTTTCATTTGGTAAGAAGGCTTTTAACCACACTCTGTAGGAACCTGACTGTGACTCTTGGCCACTCACTCACCAGGCAGCTGGAGTGCCCAGGTTTAAGTGCCAGGTTTCTCCTTGCCAAGCATAGCTTAGCAAAGCTGAGCAAATCTCTGTGCTGTCACCTAGGGACGGCCACAGAATTTAGTTTCTTTTGTCCATGGCTCATTGGGAAAACCTTCTTCCTACAACTCGGAGCTCAGGATCACCAAAGCCTGGCGTACATTAAGTCCAGGGATATTCAGAGCCTAAATGAACCATCAGCAAGCTCAGGCTCCTTCCAGACAGGCAGTTTTCAGCTTGTTGGCAGGTGCTGTTAAGCAGATGTCTGGCACGTGCCATTGTCAAAGCTGTTTGACTGTTTCACACTCATCTCACCATGTAAATAAACTTGGGAGATGCAACTGGGATCCAGCAGCGATTTTCCGTGTGGTGGAAGGAGAAAGACAATGGAATGGGAAAAGGAGGACAAAGGGGAAAACCACTGAGAGCATGGAAACGAGTGGTCACGTTTAAAAATAGTTGAATTCTCTCAGTTTGGGGGAGTGGGTTCTGAATTTGCTTTTTCCATGAGAAGAAAAGCATGCACACCCCTGCCACCATCTGCTCCCGCAGCCCACAAAGAAACCCTGGCACCAGCAGGGCACAGCAGGGAATGCCAGCCACAATGAGCCCCTCTGATGTGCTGTGGGCACCAGGCAGGGCACAGCAGGGAATGCCAGCCACAATGAGCCCCCGTGATGTGCTGTGGGCACCAGGCAGGGCACAGCAGGGAATGCCAGCCACAATGAGCACCCGTGATGTGCTGTGGGCACCAGGCAGGGCACAGCAGGGAATGCCAGCCACAATGAGCACCCGTGATGTGCTGCCTGCACAGGCAGCACCGGGAGCTGGGAAATTCCAGGCATGACCCCTATGAGCTGCAGAGGAGATAATCCCCTGATCCAGCTCATGTTACATTAAATATATTAAAACTAGCCATGCTAATGGCTATGGCTACTCATCGCCAGCAATCCTAGATGCAACCCATTGGGTCTGATCTCTGGATGGGGCGAGGAGGAGGAAGAGGAACAGAGGGAACTAAAGCATCACTTGATTTCTCTTTCTCCCTTTTCCCCTTGTGCTAAAGAAGCACTTGCTGAAAGCAGTGTTGCCTCAGTTGAGCCAGGAGGGCAATGGCTCTGCTGGTGGTAAGAAGGTCATCCTTTCACACAGCTCTAGCCCAGGTAAATCTAAAATTAGTTGAAAAAGAAAAAGCAGGATCTATCCAGAGCAGGCAAAGCACTTACTGAAAGCTCAGGTCAAACAAAATTTCAATCAAACAAGATAAACCCTCCCTGCTACCAATTTGATTCTGCACAGTGGGATTTACAAGGGAAAGTCGTGTTTGAAAGGGCGCTGGGCAGAGTTAATCATGCAAACAGTGGGGGAAAGGAGCCAGAAATCCACATGGAAAGTAGGTTAATTTTTAAAAAGGCAACACATTCAAGAGGTTTGCAGTTTCCCCTGGGAAAACCTGCGCTCTGGCAGGTAGGAGAAGATGCGTGAAGATTTGCTAAGGAGAAGATGATCCTGCAGAGCAGGATCTGCATTTAATCTACGCTCAAGCTGAGGATTTTGAAGGCAGGGGGACACAGACAGCAGAATCCTTCCCAGCTCCATCCCAGCATCCCACCACCCTGCCTTCACCCATAGCTGCGAGGACCCTGGGGGCTTCCAGGCAGGTCTGGTGATTGCTCTGCCACTCTTGAGCACATGGTTTGGACTCCGAGGAGGACACAGCAGACATCAACTGAGACTGGTCCTGCTGCACATGGGGGACTGGAGCCAACGACACGGCCTCTGCCAGGCATTAGAGCAACTTAAACCACATCTTTGCCCCAATTCTGCAGAGCCCTGAGGATGCCCTGTCCCCATAACACATAAATACAGTATTTATCCCCTGAGCGACCATTTGCCACCACAAAGTAGTTGTGACCACGAGCTCTCTCCTAAGGAACTGGCTTCAATTGCACAGGGACTCCACTGCTCATTCTCTGCCGGAGGAGGAGGGTGAGCAAGCATATGAGTAAATACAATATGTTCATAGAGAAGACAGGAGAGTATCTGGTGGTGAGCTCATCTTACATTTACTGTCACACACATTCCTCCTCTGCAATTCCCACTCGCTTTAGCCCCTCGCTGCTGCTCCGATGGGAGTTCAAGCACAACCTCCGCAGGGCACAGGGGCTCCTGTGCTGCTGCCTGCAAGGCTTTGTGCAGACACGTCTCCTCAGGCGAGATGGCAGCATGAAAACGGAGCCCATTTCACCCCTCTGCACCCTCACAGAAACCCTGACAAGAGCTTTGCGTGCTCTGCCTTCCTTCTGGGACACCATGCAAGGCGGGTTTGCGCTTGGGTCATCTGGGGTGAGCTGTCTGGGCTGCCCGCATGTGTGCTGAGGCGGGTACAGCACACGAGCCCAGAGCCAGAGGGTTATTCTGGGGTTATAGTCAGTGAGCAGGGAACAGCCTCAGGGAGAGAAGCACACCGGAATGAAAAGCAGCACTGAAGAATGGGGAACGGCCACTGTCCTCCAGGACTGGAGCAGGAATACCCTGTTAGTGCTCAGATGCAGAAATAATGCTTCTGCTGGCAGCTACAGGCTGCAAAAGCCTGAACTCGCAGGTCTTGGCTTACACAATCTGCAAGGACACCCTGCGGCACGCTCCCCAGGATGGCACGGTTCAGTGCAAAGTCAGTGAGCACCAGAGCTCACAGGGAAGATCCTCTGGACACGCAGACCAAGGGTGCATTTGCCCACACTCAATAGGTTTCCCCTCAACAGAGGCTGTTTACTTACTGCGTCTTTCTCAGGGTTGCAGACTTTCACCCAGAGGATGTGATCCAGCAGCCAGTCAATGGGTTTGTCCTTATAGAACATCAGGATGAACTCCACGATCAAGCTCAGATCCAGAGACTTGAACATTTTTCCTACAAAGAAAGAAAAAAGAGAGCAGCTATGGTATAAAATGCCAAGAATCAGAGCTGGGAAGAAAAAAGCATGGAAGACTGGGCTGTGAGGCTGGATGTGCCCATCTCTCTACGTAAAGGGAATAGCATGCAGCTCTGGTTTATGTACCAGTACTGCTGGCATCGCTAATACAGTTCTGGATTTAATACTCATTGCAGAATTAGAAAGCATTAGAGTCTCACAGGTCACAACAGCATCAAAAGGTCTAAAACTCTTCTACTCAGCAGCGAGAAATGAGGATGAATAACGTTCAGCCAGCTGCCGGCCAGGCCATTTCCTGCCCTGAAAACTGCAAGTTTCAAGCCAGTCAAACCAGTATCCAAAATAACAGATCAAGCTGCTACTGCAGCCCTGTACTGCTGTTCCCAAAATAGTTCTGTGCTGATGTAAACTTCCTTTTGCACACTCTTAGGCAACTCCAGATCCCATCCAGCCTAAAAGCTACTGGTCACATCTAACTTGTTCGACCGTCGGCTGGGCCAGTGACCAGGTTTATGTTTATTAGAAGGGAGTATTAGCAGTACCTGCTGTGTGCAAACACAAGGGTCATTGCAAAAACAGGGAGGGATCAAGTCCAAGTATTTCACTATTTTGTGGCACAACTCTTTGGACCAAGAGCTGAGTGCCTGCAGGAACCAGCAGTCATGTGTGCCCATGCCTGATGGGGCTGGGGTGAGCAGGGAAGAACGTTACCAATAAACCCCAGCTGAGAAAACTCCAGGATCATCCACTCCTCAGAGGGCTGCTGCAAGGCAAAGTTCTTCATCGTGCTGAGATAGTTTGGTTTGGCCACAATATCATCCTCCAGCTGCAAGAGGAAAGGACACTCAGTGTCAATGACCCATCCAGGTTCCAGTAAGAGCCCCTCCATGCACAGCAATCACGCCATAGACCAGAGGAAAGCTTTGGCATGAACCTAGTTTATTTCAGAAGGTGCTCCAAGCAGAGTTTTGTCACCCAATGTAACAAATAAACGAATCAAGCATTCCTGCCCTTCCTTGGTGGGAGGTCTCCAAGTTACAAGCATCTCAGAAACCCAGCTTTTGAATCTATCTGATTACAACCCGCTCCCACTCTGCTGCATCACACAACTGGACATGCTCTTTGCCCTCTCTCAGCTGGGTACAAGCCACACTGAACTCACAGGTGCACCCACCTCCCCTCCACCCCCAGCACCAAACTCACCTGCACATAATATATGCCTTTGGACTGGGCATACATCATTAAAAAGCAGTAGTCGAGGTTCTGCTTTGTCCTCCACCTGCAAGAGACAAACACAATGGGAGTGCCAATCTCTCCTGGAATACTGAGCTGTTCTGGGGAGCCAACTGGGGTTTGGTTTAAGCTGGGAAGGTGACACAGCTCTTGGAGCATGGGATGGCGTACGGCCTCTCCCTTTTGGTCTCAAACTGGTCAGCTACAAGTTACTTCCGAGTAACTGAGGGACTTCCAAAATCCCTCATCATCTGGGTTAAAATAACCACAGCACAAGGCAAGTCCTGCAAAGCTGGTGTCAGTTCGCACCCGACACCACTTCCTTGGACAAAGCAAGTTTAGGGCCTTGCCTGACCCTGCAGATGAGCTTTCCCTGCTGGAGTCACTGGGGGAGATGCTACAGTTACTTAATTCAAGTCTTGCTTGTTTTTAAGCTCATTGATTCTCACCTGACTCTTTCCTTGGGGTCCCCAAAGGATTCCCGCAGATGGGAGAAATCAGGATAGAAATGCGGAGATGGGGAAATTATCTCCAGGAGACCTGAGTGTATTTCCTTTGGGAATCTGAAGGAGAAAAGCAGCAGTAAACAAACACCATGTCTGACACATCATTTCATAGACCAGATCACTGGGTAAACACCGAGCTGCACAGCCAAACAAAAACCACAGCCTCCGAGAGAAAACCTCCCCAGCAGCTAGAGCACTTCAAGGCCTCATCAAAGGACATCAGCAGGAACTGCCATGGACTTGTAAAGCTGTTCTCTCCTTCCCATGGTGTCCAGTAGCCCCACATTTGTGTGCTCCCCCCCAGCATCCATCCTCTCCCGCATGCGGCTCTTAAGACCAGCCAAGAGGCCCATGAACTTCCTACAGGATTAAATGGACTGGCTCATCAAAGAAACAACTTGCCGGCATTCCTGACATTTAGAGACGTTTCCAAATGCATCAGTCATTAAAAGCCATTTTGCAGAGATTGTTATGCATTTCTGATAAGTTACTTAAACCACTGCTGGGCTGTAGTTAGGACAAGCAGCAGGAATTCTACCTGGTTCCCTTATGCTGATGAAATCAGCATCTCTTTTCCCTATAACGTAGTTAAGAACCCTCTTAAGAGTCAAACTCAAACAGAAAGAAAATGTCACCCATCTGAAAAATGGGTACCTACAAGAGCCTGGCAAGCAACAGCAGAGATTATTGTGACTGCGAGAGATAAGCAGGAAAACCAGTTATTTTTACACTGCCTTTCTGAGAACATTTGGTGCAAGGCTGATTTCCTTTGTTTGTGCAGAGCCTGGGGGACGGGAGATGGGGCAGAGGGAGACAAAGCAGTGAGATTGCCAAAAACTTCTCCCTTATTTTTCCCTCCCTTATTCCCTCTTTGGGACTGGCAAGATTTTCAAGCTGACATTATCAAATCTCCCCTTCCTCAGGCAGCAGTGAAACAGACGCTTCTCACTGAGCTGATAAAACCTGCACTGAAGCAGCCACTGCGTTCTCCCTCCGGCAGTCCAAGCCCAGCCTGCCCTGGCCCCACACCACCTCATTCCAGTTTGGAGGAGAACTCATTTCAGTGAATGAGGGAGGGGCAGGAGGTGCTGGAGAGGAAGATGGCAAGAAATCAGATCATTAAGTCAATTAAAGTTTCAGGCCTTCTACGCAGAGGCGCTCTCTGCAGCAGTGCCCAGTAATTTCATCAGGATCCATCGGACAATCAGTCCATTATCCCCTGATAAGTGCGTCCTCCTGCCAGCAAGCAGAAGGAGGGGAGCTCTGCCAGCTCCTGCACAGCAAGATGGAGGGCTCTGTTTCAGCTCTTCTGCAAGTGACGGGGAACACAACCCTCCCCATGCACACCCCAGCCCCTCTCCCATCATCGGCGTGGGATACAGGGTGCTGGGAGGATGTGCTGCCCTTTTGCATCTCCTCCTCACAGGGACTGTGGTCTTTCAGAAGCACGCAGTCATCGCAGGAGCTGGATGGGAGTCACAGCCTCTTCTCTCACCACCCTTTTCTCTTGCCTCCAAGCTCTGATGCTGTTAACGCCTGGACCAGCTCATGGTTAAAAATCCATCACTGGCTTTTACTTAAACAGCCACAGATGAAGCTGCAGAAGCCACTAGGACTCCAGGACATAAATAGCAGCTAGTGTGAGAGACTAATGTAACTAGTGCCTGAAACAAGGGGAAAACAAACAGGCTGGAGCGGGAAGAAAAACGGATCACGGGTTTTAAAGCAAAAGAAGGCAGGAGCATTCGGGTGTGCTTCCCACATTGCCCAGTTGCTCTGACTCTGCAGAGCAGGTAGAGGGCTGTACTAGACACAGAAATAAGTGCCAGGATTGCTGGAAACCTAAATCAATCCATCCTCTCACAACGCCACAGGACAGAGAGCACAAAATGAAACAGCATTACTGTGTGTGTTACATCCTGCGAGCACAAAGCAGCCTACTGGAGGCTACACATGGGAGGCATTTTAGAACAAGCAGAAAGAAGCAGCAATAGCAAAGACAGCACAGAGTCTAAGAACAGAAGAAAGAAAACAACAAAAAACCCCAAAAGGGAAGCAGCAAAGTGTGTATTTTCTCCTTAAAGAAGCCGTTCCCCGGCCTCACGACAGGCACACACCGTACAGCTGTAGTCATTTGGAACTGCTTACAAGTTTTTGATGTTTTCTGCCACTCCGGCCGTGTACTGCGGATCCGTCTGAAAACAGAAGATAAGCAAAGTCAGACCCTTCAGCCTCAGCCTGTGCTCCCCATGGCTCACAGATCGCCTTCAGCACACTCCAGGGGGACTGCCAGCACCTCTGCACCACCTCCATGTCTCCCTTTATGCCATTTAATCACTCCCCATGCTGATGGGCTTTTAGGAGCCCTCCTTTGTGGCCAGTGTTAACGAAAGCCATCACGCACCAAAGGACTCAAGACCCTGCACATCTTCCCCACGTGCTCTCTCCTGTAACTTCTGCCCCTGCCAGCGCCAAGCGATTGCACAAAGCGTTAACTCCTGGACTATTTATTTGCTCTATAGAAACTGGCTTTCATCCAAGCAAATAACTCATGGCAGAAAAGGCTCCCCGCCCCTTTTGTGAGAAAGAGGGGTCTATTTATAAGTGTGCTTTTCTCATTTCAGGTTCATTTTGATGTTTTTCTTCCTAGAAAGACAGTTTCTTCCCACAATCAACCCAGCAATCTGTTAACAGTTGGGAGGCAAAGGCCATCAGTGCCGCACGCCGCTATCTGCAGGCAAGATTAAGTGCAAATACAGGGACAGACACCGGACAGAAACCATCTGCACAGTGACCGGGAAAACAAAATCTAAGAACAAAGGGCAGGAGACCTGCTTCCTGCTGGTGGCATTGTTTTGGGCTGTTGTATGGGTCATGGGACTTCATGTCTTGGGTGGATCTGCAGACGCAGCACCACAGAAACCGGGACCAGCTGCTGCACTTGGCGCCAGGCAGAGGTGAGAAGTGAGATGCTGGGGATGTATGTGTCAAGCTGAGGACAGGGTTTCCACACTGGAATGGTGACAAGGGAGGGTTTTCTCAAGAGGAAAAAGGTCCCTTTCCCAAACAGGGCTCAGGCTCCCAGCGCTGGATTGATTTCTTACCCCAGTGCTGCCAAGAAACAGCAACAGTAAAAACAAAGATAGGAAAGATGCTCCTGGCTTTGGGAGCAAACACACAGCTCTGCTCCAAGCACCCAGCTGCCACTGCAGTGGTTATCATGTGCTGGTGACAGCCAAGCTGTCCAGCTCACCCCAGGGCTCCCCTCCACCAGCCAAGGAGCCCCCAGCTCTCCCAGGCAGCCCAGCCACTATGGTTGAAACTTATGGGCGTTAGAAATGGGTCAGAAATGGGAAAGCCCCATCCCCAAAATGACATTCACTTGCTCCACTTCTTGTCCTGAGTCTCCAAATTATCCAGGTTCATGCCACCCTCTCCACTGTTCACTCTTTATCCCACGAGTGAGGATCTCTAACAAGCAATGCCAAGTGCAGGTACATCAACAAACACTTTGGGAAGAGGCACAGTGGGCACGGCCGTGGCCAAAGCTTGGGAAAAGGATGTTGTGTAGCTACGAGGGCAAGCTTGGCAAGAGAGGACAGCAATGATGGTGGTGATCTGCAACATCTACCATCGCTGTTACTGGGATATGGCGCGTGTGCTCCTGCACTTTACAGTACCAGAATTAATGTATTCATTATTCACTTCCCTCATTCCAGGTACACAGGGAAAGTCGGGAGCTGCCATCATGGTGTGCACCTCATTTCCAAGTCAACTACACAAAACATAGCTGCCGTCCAAACCAGGACATGGTTTTGGTCAAGTTGCTTAAAACACCTTGTGCTTTAACTCCCCTGCTGTGAAAACAGCATCAAACCTGTCCTGGCTCAAAGGGAAATGATGGCCAGGACTCAACCTCATCCCGGGCACTTTAGGTTGCACCCATCTGTGCACACCTTCTTGGACAAAATACCAGCCAGAGACCTGAAGGCCAAATGCTACTCAAAACATCACATTATGGGTAAATAGGCAGGAAACCCAGATATTCATCTCTGTTCTGCTCCCCGTAACATGCTGATAAACTGAGGTTTATCTTTCTCACCGGATTTCTGCAAATTAAGACAAATGCACTTCAGGCTCAAGAAAATAATCCTGAGGGGAAAGCCATGGAGAAAAATAACCATCTAAACCCATACATAAAAGGAGCTCTTGTGGATTAATGTATCAAGGCTTTTTAGCCCTTGGATTCAGCAACTGATTCTGGGCTCCAGATATCAGTACGCAGAGGCATAATAATCCCAGCCCCAAATCAGTGGACTTTCAGGTTCTGAAAGGGTGTTAGTGCTGTCTCATAGGCATAGAGAAACCAAACTGCTTCAGAAGCAGGTCTGAGAGCTCCCCTAGACATGGCCACAGGGCTGCTCCAGCACGTTTTGGGAATAACCACTCAAAAGCCATCCAGTTTAGACGGAAAAGATAAATGCACATGCTACACCAGCAGTTGCTAATGTTACGTGTTTGCCTGCTCACACACTGACCCATTATGGCCCAACCAGTGTTTGATTTTGGGCAGGATGCACCTAATAATGCTGGTCAGGCAGCAGCCCAAGGCTGGGCTTATCTGCCCCAGCAAGCAGCAGAGCTGACCTGCAGGTGAGCAGCCATCCTGTTTGGCACTGACTTTGGCAGACAGTGGGATGGGATGGGGGCCAGGGAAATGGGGCAAACAGGCAAAGCTGTATCTTACCTCAGCTATGAGGACGACAATGACGGAGTCCTCCTTCTCCTGCTGTGTGAGCTCCGAGATGAGGGAGTTGAGGGTGTCGGTGAGGTAGGAATGCACCTCCCGCTTCACGCTGGGGATTCCCATCACGACGGACACTGCCCAGGGCCACGGAGAGATTTTAGAGAGGGGGGTGTGCTGGGACAAGGCTCTTTGCTCTGCTCCTATGACACCTGCTTGGTGCCATGCTCCATCATTAAACACAAGCAGTGATGAGCAGGCTGGCAGGTTCCTGGGCTAAGTAGTGCTCCCATACTCCTGTCCCTCAGCCCAGTACCAACCAGCAGCACCCCAGTGTGCCAGGCTGGCAGGGGACCCCTGGCAGACAGACTCCTTCTTTTGTCCCTGAAGCCTGGTGTCTAAGGAAACATCCCCAACCCGTCCCTCTCTTAGGGGCCTTTTCAGCCTGTGAATGGTAGCTTCGAGATCACTTTTATTCTCCAAATCCCTTCCATGGCCAGAAGCACCGCAGTTTAAGAGTCAGGTCTTTGGCTTTGGGTTGGGATTTGGGAGCAGGGAGGAACTGTCTAGTAACCAAAGTCCTATTTCAGATGGGATTTGTCGCCTATGACAACTTGAAAGTCTCCATGACACTCCCTGCAAACTATGCTTTCATCTGACCGCCTTCCAGGCAAAGCCTAGAGCACTCTGGAGATGGAAAGCAGCAAAAAATACCTGGCAGAAGCATCGAGAACGTTTCAGTGCCAGTCAAGAGCAGACACAGCACTACCCCATAGACTCGCAGACATGACATGGCTCACCCACCCCACGTGTCACCAAGGAAGCTTGCATGATGCATGCAGCCGTTCCTCCAGCCCTGCTCGTATCCATACCACATCCAGGCATGGAGGAAAGGGGAGGGACAGGCACCAAGGTGAGGAAGAGCACCAGAAGCAGCACTAATTCCCATTTACCTCCAGTGCGCCCCTGTCCCACATGCACGGCTGGCTGCAGACTGTTCTCCTTTGACAGCAAATGTGGCAAATGATGGAAGATGGTGGGAAGGTGCAGCACATTCTTGTTGGTGATATTCCACAGTTTTAACTTGGTTTCGTCTTAAAAAGGAAAAGGGAATCAGTTGCAAGACACGGTATGTAGGAAGAGATTGCAAGGCAAAAAGCCTTTTTGGAGCAGCCTGGCCACCCGAGACTACTGCTGGGTTATAAGAAATCAGGCCAACCTTTAACATGCTACCACAGACCCAATTAAAGTTCAGCAGGAGCCAGGAGGGCCTTAAAGAAGTCCCAAAATATTTGGGAAGTAGGGGGGAGAATGAAGATAAAATGAAGGTCAAATCAGATCTCTCTGTAGGGATCCAATTTTCTTTAACTGTGCAACTTAAAGAAAAAAGAACAAATAAATGGGCAAAGGGTGCTCAGCCAGCCTAACTCCCTTCCCCGCCCTCTCTTTGGATACCCTTTTTCCATATGGATTCAATACAGCCATAGGAAAAGGCATGTATGACTTGCAAGGGAAATAAAAAGCTTGTAAGCAAGCAAATGGGCAAATCCTCGGCAGAGGCAAATCTCAGTGTTCAACGATGCCTGTGCACCTGTAATTAAACAGGAGTTTAAGGGTTCCCAAGTCCCTCTGAACTCCACAATTTGCTGGTGCTGGGGGAGAGAAGAGCAGGTCCTGTCCGCAGCCCTGCGCACACGCACACACACCTCTCTACCTCCTCATTAGCAACAGCCCGAGATCCTCAACGTCTCTGTTTATTCACCAGATAAGCTGCTCCAGGTCCGGTTTATGTCCCGCAGGGCCTGCTTCTCCGAGATCGCCCTCTTGATCTCCTCCAGGACCAGGTTGAGCTCCTTTGAGCGCTTCAGGCTCTCCTGCTCGGCTGCATGCAGCCGGTCCCGGAGGGCGAGGAACTCCCGCTGGTAGATGTCCACAACGTCACCTGCGGATGGAAAAAGAGAGAGATGCTTTCTCCTCTGTGCTCCAAAGGGTTTCAAGCCACAAAAGCGATGCACATCACTTGTACATCCCCTGCCTCCACAGTCCGTGTGGATTTAGGGAGTTGTGGTCCAGCACGCTGGTTGGTGAGAGGGGTGGAGAGAGGGCAGTTTAAGTTGCAGAACTACAATTAAAAAGCTGCTCCTGTATTTCCCTTTAAACTTCAGTTCCCAGGTCACACAGGAATGCAATCTGGTTCTCTGTGATGGGAGCACACAGCAAAGAGTAAGTCGCATGGTAGTTAGTTCTTCACTATATACTCAGAAAGGGGAGTCAGCTGCTGGCATTGATTTTACAAGCAATACTCTGCATCTCCCTCTGGAAGTTTGGGGGTGTGAGATGGTGCCTGCTGGAGTGAGCGGCAGGGAATCAATCAAGTGAAAACAGAACTGAAAGCACTGGTAGTGATGGCCTGTTAAAGACAAACCCAAGGAACATCAATATTTTTAATCGCCTTGCTCCTTGCTTTGGGTTCTTTATGGCACACAAAGGAAAGAGCTTTAAGAGCACAAGTCAAAGAGCATTCAAGTGGGTAATTCCACAGAACCCCTGGACAGCATCTTGATGGTCTTCTATAGATGGCACAGGGCATCTCACGGATGAGCATGAGTGATGGAAAGCAAGACAGTGGGAAGAGAGATGCGGCTGTGCAGGGACATGAGGGCAGGGAGGAGGCAGCGCCTCCTCCAGCTTTGCAACAGAGTCCCAGATTCTAACAACCAAAAGGGACTTCTGGAATCTAACCTTTCTGAAACATGGCAGGATAAAGAATGTCAGGAAATAGCTGCCTGGATGCTTATATAAATCCAAGTGTTTGGATATACACCTTAAGGATGCATCACATATACAATATATAAAAATAAACTTTTGATAGGGTAACAAAGCTTTTTCTTTAAACCAATATCTTATCAACATGCCTTTTTTAAGCAATAAAACTATTAAGAGCTTTCAGCTGGAACTAACTACACAATAGCTGGGAGTGGAATCAGTTAGCCACTAATGAACTTTCCTGGGCTGTTTTTTAACCCACTGTTAATGAAACTACTCATTAAAAAAAAATCTGCTTTTATCTGTGGTCACTCATGTGTTTTTAGTAAGGCTTTAACTCACAGGACTATACCCAGAAGAGATTTATCCACTGACTAGTAGACCTTTAGCCCAGGGTCTACAGGAGGGCTAATGAGAGAGCCCACAACCAGGAGAGCTAATGACCAAAATCACTGCACTGGAACTTCCCAACACAGGGCTAAATACACATCAGAGCCATTGAAACAAGACACGCTGACTGCTTCTATTTTGGAGTCCGTAAAGAAACAGGAATTTTGAAGATCAGACATACCCAGCTCCAAAGCAGTGAGTTTCCAAGACAACAGTGCTTCCTAGTCATGCTTTTGCCTAGGAAAAGTTTCCCCCATGGGTTCTCTTCACCCTAAAAAAACCTTTTGTAAAGATTCCCTGCTTCAACACCAGGGACCCCCCAAGGCCGCCTGGCTCCTATTAACCTTTCAGTGTTATTTTCAAAGCCTGTGGCACGTGGGGAGCGAGCAGAGGAAGTCACACCCATTTGATGACTCTGTCCATCGGACAACACGTTATTCACAGAAGGTTAAGATACAGACACAAACAGGGCCAGTCCTTCCTTTTTCCTGTGCGGTGCCGCTCGCTTTCCACTCCCATTGAGAAAGCCTTGGAGGATGTGCACATAAACAGGTTAACACCCCGCTCTGGGAATTCACAGAGGGATGTCAGGCTTTAAATTGACTCCATGATGAGCTAGAGCTTTACCTGCTGGCACCTCGCAGGCATAGAATAAACCTTTCAGCTTCCCGGTAGTACTCTAGATTATAGGGTTTCCTACTTGTGTCTTTTACCAGCTGCGTCTGTGAACAGCAGCAAGGAACAAGTCTCACTTTCTGCCTTTGCAAGACATGATGGCAGCAGGAATTGTGCCTGTGCTAGGCTGGAAGCATTTGGCTTTCAGCATACCAGGGGGTTACTATCCCATAGATGCTATCAAAGCCAAATCACAGCTAAAGGCTGCCATTAGATCTCGTCCTGCAATACCTGGGAGCAGAGTAAAGGCAAGGCTTTGCACTTAATGGCTTTTTCCAGAGCACTGCACTTCGTTTGTGTCAGATTTAGAAGGGAAATGTCACTGATTATTCCGTCACTAATGACCTGCCCGCCGAAGCCAAGAGCTGTACTTTTCATTAGAACTGCAATGGCGATGTGCAGTCAACCATTTACTGCTTTCCTAGCTAATGGTTGGAAGTGAAATTGTATTTGTTTCCACTGCTCTTGTCCTGTGATGTCTTCAGAGGCTTTCCATTCTTTAATTAAAATTTCATGAAATTTAAAAGCTGATCGATCGTGCCGGGTTCCGGTGACAGCTCCGACAGCCCGAGACAAAGCCCAGGATGGGTGCTAACAGTTTCCCACGAATTCCCAGTAATGCCATTTTGCACTTGCCCGGCTGCAAAGACCCGTGGATGCGGATTTGCCGTCCTCACAAAACCCCTCAGCCAGGGCTCTTTGAAAAGCCACGAAGGGCATCAGAGGATAAATGGGGAGGGAACTGGTTCCCATCTCCACGAGCAAGGCTGGACACAGAAGTGATTTGCTGCTAATTAGGCTGAACAAAATTTTCAGCTCGTGTCAGTTCAGCACAGGCCCTTTACCTTTCAAAGCAGCAGCACTCCCTATCTACATATTTATTGTATTCCCTCCCAGCACAAGATAGCAGAGCTCTTAAAATATCTCCAGACTCAAGCACTGCAGGATAAAAACTCCTATAGCTATAACTATATTAAAAAAAAGACTCAGCTTACTTTTTCTTGGGAGATAACACAATGCTTCAGGCTTAAAATACACTGGTTTAATAAAGAAAGAAACTCAGAGTTAGGCAATCTTCTGCAGGACAGAGCTGGGAGACCAAAATCTCTCAAACTTACATCACACATCGTGCATGCCCAGTGCCCTGCAAATAACCCATTTCTCACCTTGTCATGCTTAATATTTGCACCCAACGGTCTTTTGCAAAGCTGTCTTTAGAAACAGGCTGGCTCTAAGGCTCCAAGCAAGCAGCCAGCAGCTTCAAACAGGCCATCTCTCTGCAGGCCAGAGAAGGCAGCACTGGGCACAGCTGAGCTCCAGCCTCCATCTGTCCATCCCAGCGCTATGGGAGTGGATCTGGGGGTGTATCCCTGGAGAGGGGAACAGTGGCCACAGGAAGAGTCCAGCTGAGCATCACTCACTGACCCACAGCTTCCCCTCTGCTCCCTTCCCTCGCCCCGGCTGTGCCTGGCCACGGCTGCCAGCTGAGAACCCTCTGCTGGGTTTGCTGGGTGACAGCGTGAACTGCTGGTGAAGCAGCAGGCAGGGATGCTTGAATGGGTCCCTTCCCCAGCAGCCAGGATGCAGCAGTGTGCAGTGATGGGCACACGCTGGTAGGGCTCCTGGGGTGCTCCCCTGGAGCCTTATAGGAGCTCCACAGAGCTGATCTGCAGCATGCCCAAAGGCTTTCATCCATCCAAGACAGCATCCGTTTAACAAGAAGTTATTTCTCTGTGATGGAGAATTCTGTGGCTTCATTCTTATTTAAGTGACTACAAAGTGCAAACCAGGCTTGCAGAGGTCAGGGCTGGGACATCTGTGTCCACTCAGCTTACCCATTTTCAGGTTTTGAGTGAAAGCAAATACCTAATCTGATCCTAAACCAGACCAGTGCCAATAAAACCCCACCATGAAACCTCACAGTCCTCCGTATCTATTTATGTCTATATATATATATCTTTATATATACTGTCAGGAATATTATAATTCTTTATTCTTCTGCATTACTCTTTCAGCTCACACTCCAACCTCCCAGGGAACCTGCAGTGCATTTTAAACACATCCGTATTTCAGGACCAATTACTTCTGGTTTTGTTCTCTGCAGATAACCTCTCCCAGCAGAGCAGACCCATGGCCAAAACCATAGCTTTCCCTCCAATTCAATCTTTTCAAAAGCAAATGCAAAGTCCTTGCTAGCTGGATTTGCTTCTCATTAGGAAGACTTTCAAGAGACTTTGTTTAAAAAACTCAAAACAACCCCCAAACCACTAAACCGTTTATCCTCATAAAATCTGGGCTTTGAGAGCACAACGGCACCTTTTGACCCGTCTGTTACAAGAGTTCTCAGGGCAAAAAGAGACAGAAAAGAAAGTGCAGTCCCCAGTTCACACTGCAAAGGGAGCTGGAGCAGAAAACTAAACAGAAAATGTCCCTGCAATGACTATTCCTTTGTTTTATTTGAAGCACCCCTTTAATAAGTAACCGCTCCCTCTCTAGGACTTGCAAGGGCCTAAGGGGACTCCAGAGCACACAAACAATCCCCTCCCCATGCTACAGCATCTATGTAATCCAAAAATGCAGCCGGTGAAGCCCAGGGAATGGAGCTGGTGATCCATCCCATCATCCCTCTCCCCATCCCAGGCTGCCTATGCCTGGCTTCATCCCCAGTCATTCACAGGAACTCCTGGAGTTAGATGATGATTAGGGATTTTCTTCCCTTTATGTTTTGATGTTTAATGATTGATATAATGCTGGCACTGCTCCACACATTACACTCTAGATTGCCCTGATTGAATCGCAGCATTCATTAGGTATTTTGCTAACAGAATTTCACTGGACCATTAAAATGGATATTAGAGGAGTTTCTGTACCGTATCGGTGAATTAAACTCAGCAGAAAAGGATAGTACTGCTTTACACGGAAATCTGATGGTCAGTGAAGCACACGGGTATTAAGACACACAGGTACAGTCACTCTACAATAAACATCTTATACCAGTAAAAGCAAAATGTTGCCCTTTGGTTTTTTGGCTGTAGAAGGAAGAAAACCACTTTAGAGACTCACTGTGAACTAAACCTCAACACAGCCTCCAAAAAGCCACTAGGAAGCACC